TAAAGATGTTATTATGCACCTACGTATACAATTTCAATCAATCTATATCTCACTTATTGAATCCATCAATAGTTCAGTGTATGTTTCAGTTAGTTGTGGTGCATAGTATTCCTGCAATAGTGGAGTACTACCAAATTCAATTTGAGTGATTTGTTTTATATAAAAGGCAGTTAAATGATACTAAATTTTAGCAACATACTTGGGTCATACAATCTGTCAAACTTTCCTCAAATGCATCAACAGCTTCACGGCTAGTTGTTGCTTCTTGTTCCATTCCAGAATGCAATGATTAAAGTTAGAAGTATGCATTATACATGGAATGAAGGAAATACTAAATCAAAAAATTTGTAATTTTAGCTTTCTTATTTTTCTCCCAATATCCTTTTAACTTAGATGTAGATACTCCTTTCGGCCTCTTTTTAGCTGGGTCGTTCACATTGCATTCTATATTTATAACTTTTTTCTTCTTTTTTGTTTTCCTTACTTTGGTCATTTTCCCTCTTAAAGCATCCTCAATATCTCCAAATAATTTTTTAAACTTCTCTCAAACTCTCCTCAGCTAACTCATTTCTTCGTGCTCTATTAATGAGTTGATATGCACATTTCTGAGAGCATGACATGAATAGAAGGGCACTTGATGAAACATTATTCAACCCAGAGTCTTTTAGATCTCTGGCAACCTAACCTGTTATACATGTTTTTTTTAGCATTGATGGACCACCGCAATAAGAAATACTTCTCCGGAATCACTTTTATTTTGGCAACACTGAGAACAAATAGTGCATGGGAGCACAACAGGCCCATCATCTCAAATTTTTTGCAACTACATGTAACCTCACAAGTAACTTTGTCAACTAACACAGCTCAAGGCTGCCTTGTCCCCTCATCATCCAATCTTAATACGTAATATTTAGCCTCACTCTCCACTGATACTTCAGCTGTAAGCCCACATAAGTTATTCAATAGCTCTTATTCAAACATTGAGTAAAGCTTCCTTGTATATAATGAGGCAGCTTGCCTCAACACGTGATTGATTTTAACCATGGGCAATCTGATGGACTGACCGCATTTGAAATCTTCATCTTTCTCGTTCCGGTGCTACAATTTCATTATGGTTTCAAGACCGATAAAACAATCCGTGAAAGAGCTAGTTGGCTTTGCAACACCATGGCAGACATTATTGGTCGACTCACTTCTCTGTGTTGATAAGATTCTCATACCGAATATATCCTTATTAAATGTTGTAGACCATCTATGTCTTATACGATACATTTCATCTAACCAGACATTGCTTTGTAGTTATCCCAGCTCAATCATTAAGGACCACATTTCTTCGAACTCCTCCTCAGAATCACACTTGCTCAAGCATTTATAAAAAATACCACAGACGCTCTTAGTACGCACTCCACAGTGTACTGTGGAAGATAGTTCTTGTATATATGCCATTCACATAATCTGTGACGTGTTTGTGGGAGGCATTTGGGAGGTTGTGGGAGGCATTCTGCAATGGCTCTTGCCATTGCTTGATCCTGATTGATAAAGATTGTTATGGGATGTTTGTCTCCCATTATTTAAATGAATGATTTAAATAACTATGTAAATGATTCAGTAGTCTCATCAGACAAAAATCCAACTCCAAACAGTACGTTCTGCCAGTGGTGGTTAACCCCCACAAAAGGAGCACATCATAAGTTATATTTATTTAATCTGTAGCTTGTATAAAAAATTATCACATCCCTAAAATAGTCATAATCCAGCCTGGATAATCCATCACTCCATAAAATACTTGTTAACCTACCAGACTCATCTGTTTAGAAATCTCAAGCAAACATGTTATCCCCAACTTGCCTCTCCATAAACAATTTGTTCAATTCTTTGTCCTCTTCCTATTTGGATGACATTAAATGCATCTCTCTTAGTGCATTTCAAATTCTCCACACCATCAACCTCCGTAGCAATGAAATTGTATGCATGTGTTGCTCTGATCTTTGAACCTGTCATTGATCTCAACACATCTGCATTCAACTCACTTATCCTTCTCTGGAGCGAATAAGATGCTTATCACCACTTTCAATCAAGGGATGATTGTGATTTTCAATGAATTTTGCCACTGTCCAATTACCTTCAAAATCAACAACAAATCGAACCATGGCCTTACATCCATCCTCGTGTCTGCTTTTCTGAATTTAATTGTGTTGTTAGGCTCTTTCTTGTAGCCAGCTTTTCCACAAATATAATATTTGATCTTGAGTTTCTTGGAGTTCGGTCAGTAGGTAGTATGGTTCTTCCGAACAGTGAATCCTATGTGAAGTGCATAGGCACAATAACTTTCATATGCTGCTTGCTCATTGTGGACAATGCTGCTTATAAACTTCTCTATAATTGGATCATTTTAAATGTGTGTTACGAACTTGTGTTGCCTCACAGGACTGCATAATACCATGATAACATCAGCATAACACAATAATAACATAGTAACAATAATAAATCAAAGGCAATAAACAACATAACATTGGAGTAATATCAGAGTAACGCCACAATAACATAAGAGTAACACCAAACAACCATAAGCTTAAAGCCATAATAACACAAAAAAAACACCATTATAATACAAAAAACGACATTGTAGAACCCAATAACACTACATCAACACCAACATTTACATTAGATTAAGCCAACTATTATACCACAATAACGATACTAAATCAAAGGCAATAAACAACATAACATTGGAGTAATACCAGAATAACACTAGAATAACACAAGAGTAACACCAAGAAAACACAAGCTTAACACCATAAAACACAAAAAACGCAGCAGAAAAACACTCTAAATTTTACCATATTAAAAAAAATATTACTGCCTTTCAAGAAATATAAACACCACAAACAAAATGACAATACCAGAAACACAATGAAAACCCTAAGTTAACATAAAACTAGAGATCATTATAGACTCACTTGATTTTCAAAGTTCTAGCCGAATGATGGGTGTAATTCCTCTGGCATCTCAACGTTCATGGAGATATCCATCGAAACCTTAGCTGTGGAGCTGCGAATGGAGCTGCAAAATATTTCTTCACCTGCAATAGAACAACCTGCGAATAGAACAGTAAGTAGGCGCGAAATATTTGTATGCTAGCAGGAAATTTTTTAGGTTTAGAGTCGGGTCGGGTCGCGAATAATATGAAATTTATTTTTCTGTTCTTTAATAGGTGAGGCCGGGCTTTCCACGAGGCAACATTTGATTGGCTACTGACGTAGGTCTACATGCGTAGTATTGAGGCAATATTTCTCTTGAAGATGCTTGCGTAGAAAGTACTATGAATCAAACACTCACGTGGGATTTCGACCAATCAGAGGATTTCGTGGTGCCACATCAAATTAATAAAAAAATTTAGATTTTCTTATTTAAAGAAATTTAAAAAATCTTTTAAAATGCATATCTTTGAAAGGAAAAATTGTAAAAATAAAACAAAAATACACCTGGACTCATCAAAGCAAGGAGAAAATAACAAAATTAAAATTGAGATAATAAATTATATTTAATTTTTAAATAATAAATTACTCTCTCGAGTAATTTAATTATAAATCCAAAAATTACAAAATTTACAGGAATTAAACCTTTCATCATTTGGATCATTCCCTGCTATTTTCAAGGTTAGGAAAAATCCCTAAAATGAAATTTACCAATTTTCACCAAATTTTGTAATTATTTTTGAAAATAATTATAAAAAAATCAGAAAATTGAAAATTAAAATTGGATTTATTTAGAAAATCCTTGGAGATTAATCTAATTGCTAAAACCAATATTTCAATGTATTTAAGGGTTTAAAATGACAAATTAAACCTTTAGGGTTTTATTTCTAAATTCAAAATTTGCAATTCAACCCAATAATGCAAATTTGGATTACATGACTTAGATTAAGCTGATTTACATATGAAATTAGGTCAAATTTTAAGTCTAATTAGTTAGACTTAGGGTCTGTTTGGCACAGCTGCAGATTCTCAGTTTTTCAGCTGCAGCTGCGTTGCCTCAGGAAGCCGCTGTAGGGAAGTAGCTGCGGGGAAGCTGATTGTCTGTTTGGTGCAGCAGCGTGAAAAATGCTGTGAGCCAGCTGTTTCATGTAAAAATGACCAAACTGCCCCTATTTGTTAAAACTGTTTTAAAATTTTGATTTATTTGTATAAATATGGGTTTAATATACATAAAATTTATAAAAATATTATTTCTTAATTAATTAAATGAAATATATTGTTTTTAATATTTATTTTTATAGAAATTTTTAAAAAAAAATTTGTAATTTTGAAAACATATAGGTTTAAAATTTATCTTTATCTATATATCAATGTATACAAATATTAATTCATCTATACATATAAAAATTTAGAAACATATATTTTAGAAGCATAAAATTAATTCTCCATTTTGAATTCTTCAAAAGTTGATATAACTTAAAGCATTTACATAAATATCACATAATTCTTGTCTCAACATGTTAGACATCTAAACTTACATATTTTCTTGGATAACACTCAATTTCTTAACATCATATATTGCATGGCAATCTAAACAGCTTCCAGCTACATGCAAATAATATAGGGCATTGTAATCCGTAAAATGATCTTCCATACCCATCTATAAAAAACTTTAATCCTTAACAAAGTTTTTTATTACATCACCAGTGCCAATAAAGTAACTTCTACTACCAAACACTCATAAGTTACAATTATTTTGTCTTTCTAACAAATTGCAAATCAACAACAAATAAACAAATGCATTAGTAATTTGTTCTCGAATGGCCGCCATTTCACTTGCACCTTCCCCTTCCTTAGTAGAAATGGTTGATTGTTTGTTGTCATCTCGTAACATAGAACTACCCATTTGGTTTTCAGATGGGTCTTTAACTACTTCCCGTTAATTTGCTTCAGCATTGAGAAAATCAACGTCATATCCAGACGGGTGTCGCCTAATATAATTGTGTATTGTCATCGTTGTTATCACAATTTGAACCTGCTTTGGAAACGGGTAAGGAGGGCATAAGGAGACATATCACGTAAGATCACCCATTTCTTCTTCCAGACACCAAATGTCCGCTCGATGACGCCTCGCAAAGAGAAATATCTTTTGTTGAACACCTCCTTTCTGTTTCTCGTAGCATTACTTGCTCGTTCAAAATCAGGTATATGATATCTCGTATCAGGATATAGTTTGAGATACCCTCGCTGCAATGGATAACCGACATCCACCAAATAATACTTTCCTGTAAGATGTTGAACCTTGAGTTCCACATTTTAAAAAAATACAATAAATATTTTGCAGCGCAACATACCTTGAGGAGGATGGGGAAAACAATAATGAGGATTTCGTGTTGCACTCTTGAAAATCCTACTATCATGGGCTCTACCCTCCCAACCAGGCATGATAAATGTGAAACACATATTAAAGTCGCAAACTGCCATGACATTTTGCGTTGTGGTCCACTACGTCCGATAAATGCAACTTTCTCATCATTTGAAACCCGTGCATCAACATGTGTTCCATCTATCGCACCGATGAAATCCTAAACATGTAGTTCTAGTAATTAATTAATTAATGTCCTACATTCATGTTAAACTTCATTAATATAAGATTAAATCAGTACCTTAAAGAATGACATGTAGCGTCGATCTTGGCGAATGTCTGTAGGAGTTCGTGAAAACGTTGGATCTATTGGCTTTATAACTTGTTTTGCGAGGCTCACCAAAGCACTCAAACCCACTGAGAAGTACCTGCTAATTGTCTCTGATGAGTGTTGAAAGCGTTCCATCGCACCACACATTGACTCATTCTGTGATAATATAAAAAGAGCAATCGCCAACACCTCACGGTCAGTCATTCTCATAGACCCATGGAGGCCATGAGATCCTACGAGTTCTGCTAAAAGATCTGTAAAAACTTCTTGTGTCATGCGGAACAACTTGTGAAATCTTGTGGGATGCTCGACAAGCATTTCCGCTACCCATTTGTCTCCAAATTGTGATGATGTGTAACAGGGGGAACAATCGATGTATGTGTTGTAGTACTCTACGAGCAAGTTGATAGCTGCGTTTCTCCTTCTACGACGTACTTGGTTTGGGTCCATAATGATTTATACTGGACATATTTTGACACAGAAAAATAAATTTTTAAATTAATCATCATTAGGAACATAACTATATAATTTAACATGTGACAAGTAATAACACAAGCATTTAGTGTAGATCAGAGGTACATAATTCTAAGGAAGTTTTATCAACGGATAAGATTTTCGCACTTTTCATGAAGACATTTATATGTAAAAAACAAATTAAAGTGAAAAGTCTGAATGAACAACAGTTCAAATAACCATGTCTTCTCATAAACTGTTTCTCATAAACTGTTCAGATAAGGAAATAAGGACATAGCAACTACTAAAAAAGTCCATTCAAATTTTCCTACGCTCATAAAAATTTCGTAGATACGACCTCCTTCGCTCTTTGGCAATTGCTGTGAAAAAATCTCTCTGCACCGAATCTTGAAGCAGCTCAACAGCAAAGTAGTATAGCTCATCATCCATTGCAATACTCGGATCCTGCTCTAAAATAGCCACAACCTCATTAATTGACGTTTTCTGCACTTTATGGGGGGCATCATTGGAAGAATCCATTAGGCATGATATCTAGTTTCTGATAGACGCAGCTCCACCCTTTTTTTACTCTCGAACCTAGATCGCTTAGAGCGATTCATAGATTGAATCTCAGTGGGACCTGGACTTGGGAATTTAGGTGAATCATCTGATAAGTTGATAGCAACATTGTCCTGTGTTTCACCAAATCCCATCTCGCTAGGAGCGCATGCATATTTTCCTGTGGCAACGACACCCCCGAACATCAGGTCTAACTTCTCCTCCAAATAAGGTTCAATCCCACAAGTTTTATACTTTTTTGCTGCGGGCACCACCTGGAAAAAAAACACAAATCATTTTGTTCATTCCTGAAAGAGAATTATATTATACAAATTATGAAAAATAAAATTTACTTACCGTGAGCCTTTCTGCCCACAACTCTTCCGAAGCATCAATGGTTCGCTTTATTGGATCCCAACCCACACTAGTTGAACCACGCTTTAAATCCTTTCAAATTTTCCAATCTTTCCTCAGTTGATCCCATTTGTTTTTCATTTGTAGCCTGTCGTACTCCCGTCCCGTGGAGTCTTTAAAATTTTTAATGATATTATGCCAACCTTCTTGATTGAAAAACGTTGTTGGTCTATTGCTTAGTTCAATTTCTTTGATACAGAGGTCGCAAAACAACAATTTGATTTTTTTTTCCCCAGAGTGCTGGTGAACCATGTTCTTTAGCTTTACCAGCCATGTTACTACTACGATGAAGCAAAGAAATGAAACACAACAATATCATATTCGATTAAAAAATGATTAAAGAAAGCATAAAAACAAAAAAAGGACACAAAATTTAATGTGGTTCGGTCAACATGACCTACATCCACGACAAATGAGGCCAACAACTTTATTATAGCATCAAAGAAGAAGATACAAAGCTTTGATTCATACAGTACTCCCTCCCAGAAGCACAAAAAAACCAGCAACATATAGAAACCAAATGCTATCATGATGGATCCCATCCCAGGAATCTGGCATAATAGAAGCATCATACATTACTCCCATAATGATTCGTATATTACTCCCTCCCAGAAGCATAATACATTACTCCCTTCCACGCACCCCTTTGAAACCGGCAGCATATCTAATAAACAGGTAGCCCGAAGCAAAAAAAAAAAAAAATGTTGCGAGGACCACTGCAAGCTTGTCAAGTACTTGAGCAATGCAAAACAAGTAAGGTGTAAAGATAACATAGAAATATTACTATCACAATTGCTTACGGGGCCAAGCCAAGTTTTCTGTAATGCCCGATTTAAAAAAAGAAAAACAAGTTAGCCATAATTTTCAAGATATAACTTCAGCTGATCAAAGTAAAGGAAGGCTGTCGAATTTCTCAAGGTTTAGCTTCAGCAAACCCAAGCAAAACAACCATCAGAGTTCCAAAAACTTGGCTCCATCAAACCAACGTAAAAAAAAAAAAAAATCAATTTCAAGGTTCAGCTTCAACAAACCAAACCAAAGGAAACCCCTCTAGTTTCAAGGTTCAGCAAATAAAAATGTATCTAGCAATCAAACAAAATCCAAAAAACTAAAGACCAGACATTCTTCCCTTTTTCTTGGCATGTGAGAAACATGTTTAAATCCACAAAATCCATTTAACACAACCATATAAATAACCAACTTGATGAGTTCAAACAAATATTCAAGAAACTAGCCAAACCGAGAAACAATTATTTCAAATGAGTAGCAAAATAGATAACATTGTTCTTAAGAGGCTATAAAGAATAGAATTCAGTCTTTCTCAAATGAACACAGAGCATATACTTCTTAGTTATAAGTGCTTCTATAGTAATTGATCCAACAACCATGTATTCATTTTGAAAATTACCAAGTTCTAAAAAAAAAAACCATAAATAATATGAGATAAAATATTGGCTCCTTAAAAGAAACATATCTCATGGATCCATTCACTAAGAGACAAGAAGATGCTTTCGCAATCCATATGGGTCAGAACAAGCATAAAATCCTCATATGGTTTAAACCAATTGAAAGAATACAAAAGAAAGTTAGGTGAATCAACAAATTCACCCCAAGAAATATAACTCATACATTCACTGACCCCTAATAAAGGAAGATATAACAATGAATTCTTCCTTACAATAATCCAACTCTCATGAAGAATATAATGATCAATTTTCACCATAAAACAGACATATCGACAAGGAAAAATAGGTTGTGTATGCTATATATGTAATCCTTTAATATTCATGAAAGGAATAATCAAACTAAAATGTATAACCCGATGATTTGAAATCGTAAAGAACTGTTAAACTATTTGATTCATAACAAGAACCTCCAAAACTTCATAGCGGAAATATCCTTTTTCGAATGGTACTTCCAAAACGACAATCTTCCATTAGCAAATGCATACATGCTTAAACCACAAAACAATCTCTAATGTAACACTGCATACATGCTTAAATGGGCGCAAGATCTGCAACTTAGATGGACAATGCCAATTTGATCCCAAATCTAAGAGCTCGATTCATGTAAGAATAAAATGAAGTATTTTTTGGTGTGCCAAAAGATCAACCTAAAGCCATACTTCGTTAATAAGCTACAGATCCACCACAGGAAAGAAGGAGAAAAGAAAAATGGCAGAAACAGGAAAGAGGTGAGAAGGAGAAAACATTAGGAGCCACAAAACGCACATCCTTCCTCAGAATGCGGCGGGTGGGGCTGTCAAAAAAGCTCGTTGTTCGCGAACAGTTCATGTTCGGTTCGTCAAATAGTTCGTGTTCGAGTTGTTCGATAAGTAAACGAGACGAACGTGGACATTTTTTTTTGTTCGGTTAGTTAAACGAACCAAACACGAACAGTGATGCGTTCGTTCGTGTTCGAATCGTTATTGTTCGAAATATAAAATAATTTAAAATAATCATATATAAAAAAATTATGATATTTTAAAAAATTAAATTTTATAAATTATAACATATAATAAATTAATAATAATAATAATATATTAATATACTATATTAGTAATCTACTAATATAGATATCATATATTTGTATAATATAAGTTACATAATTAATATAATATATTATTTATATATATTAATATTAGGGATGTCAAACTGGCTCGTCATTTGCAAACAGCTCGTGTTCGGATCGTGTTTGGCTCGTTCGTTAAGAAACGAACACGAACAGTGACTTCACTAACAATTTCAAACACGAGCTTATTTTGAACAAACTAAATTTCAAACGAACCAAACACAAACACAAGCTTTGTTCGTTCGTGTTCGATTCGTTTACACCCCTAGCAGCGGGGAATCACCTAGGGTAGACGCAGGGAAGCAACGGGGAATCACCGAGGGTAGACGCGGGGTAAAGGGTAAAAATTTTGGTCGAAAGCGGGAGACACGATGTTAATGCCGCGACCTGCTTTCGCTCCGCTTCTGCCGCCTAAATGCCTGAAGTCGCGAACCAAAAAGATAACTTTCGCGAAAAGTTGCGACAAATGACCACGCCGCACCTAAAAAGCGCTCCCAAACAGACCCTTAGTCATACCCTAAAATTTGAATCTAGGTCATCCTAAACCCTAATTAGGTTTAAACTCTATTAGACTTAATCAAATCCTTAAGCCTTACATACATCGGGCTTAAGCAAACCTTAAACCTTATTAGGTCTAAACCCCATTAAACCTAATCAAATCCTTAAGTCTTACATACATTAGACTTAAGTACATCTTAAAATTTAATTAGGTATAACTCTAATTAGACATAATTAAACATGTTAAGCCTTACTTACATTAGGCTTAACTAACCTTTAAACCTTAATTAGGTCAATCCCTAATTAGACCTAATTAAAATTGTTAAGCCTTACTTACATTAGGCATAACTAACTTTTAAACCTTAATTAGGTATAACCCTAATTAGACCTAATTAGACTTGTTAAGCCTTACTTACATTAGGCTTAATTAACTTTTAAACCTTAAATAGGTCTAACCTTAATTAGACCTAATTAAAACTATTAAAACTTACTTAAATTAGGCTTAACTAACCTTTAAACCTTAATTAGGTCTAACCCTAATTAGACCTAGTTAAATTTGTTAAGCCTTACTTACATAACCTAAGGGGCTGTTTGACAATCGATGAGATTTGACTTTGTCGAATCTAATACATCTTATAAATACTAATTTAATAAATCATGACAGGGTTAAATCTGAAAAAGTGTTTTATAATTGGATTCAATAAATGCAGTAGAATCTTATCAAATATATTGACAAATTCATAATTTAAAGTTTTCTATTTTCTTAAAATAATCATAATTAAACTTTCATTATTTATTTATTATGATGAAAGTAAACAATTAAATTTAATTAAATTTAATTTAAATTTTATTTCTAATCATAAAAATTAATTATTAATTATTTACGAAATAAATTAACTATTTATAAAAAAAAATATTAAACTAATTATTTATGGAGCAATAATTTAACATTTACAAATAATTATTAATTAATTTTTAATTATATTATTACATATTATTATCGATTTCTTACAAATTTATTAAATAAATTAAAATTCACTATGTATTTTATTTTTACTAATTAATTATTAAATATTTACATATTAATTTATATAATTATAATTTTTTTAATTATTAATCAATTAAATTAATAGAATTAATTTAAATTAAATTAATGGCACAAACCTCTGTATACGTCCCTCCTCTCTCCCTCCCGGACCCTTGCCTCCAGCCCGAAACCCTCGTCTATGTTAGCCCCGCTCTCCGGGCTTCGCTCAAAACCATCGCCTTCGTGACCGATGCGTTGCGATACAGTCGCCATTAGGATCGTGGCGTGCAGAGCTCACTGAAACTCCCATCCTACCTGAATCTGTTGATGAACTTCATTTTGTCCAAACTGACCGTCTGGCAAGATTCAACTTAATTCCAGGTTAAATCCTAGTCTAAATCCACTGTCAGACGGCCCATTAATACCTCAGGATTTGAAGGCAGCTCTTTGATACGACGAAACATGGGTATCATTGAGAAAATTAAGGAAATTGAAGCCGAAATGGCTCGAACTCAGAAAAATAAAGCTACAGGTTCGATTATATTCTTATTGATGTGCTTTTATATTGATTATCGATACACTTTCCCATGTTAGCCGATGAGATGCAGGAACTACAATTAGATTGACGTCACTGACATTATTAGCCTTATCACTATTATTTAATTTATGTTTATCTTTCCTTCTGCTAATCCCTGCACTTGAATTCTTAAATGATGCTATATCACTCTCTGACACACGTAAATTCATGTATTGGCACGGAATAAGCAGTGGCCAGCCTTTAATGAATAGAAGTCTTCGGCGGAGTAATGGTGGGAGAACTCTAGCTCAGAGAAGGACTCCCGCTTAATAACTCACACGCTCTCGGCTTGGTGGGAGAACTCAAGCTCGATTCTTTTCAACTTGACTAATGTACTAGGATGTGTGGACTACTACCAATACACCAGGATGCAGTGATTCCTTAAAAATAATGGATATTTATATTCAATTTGATTAGTATTTGGTTGTATTAATTGGCTTAAATTGTTGCTCATTGAATAAAAGATTATTATTTCAATATATCATCACAAGTGAAGGAACATTCAGCATAGCTAGCATTATTGGAGTTTTTTGATTTGTGTAATATATTAATGGTTTGTTGTTAATGTCCACGGATCTTGTTGCCCATTTGTCTGCACATGTCCATTAAGTTTCTGGGATTGCTTCATCCACTTCGCCAATTCTTGACATTGCTTATTTCTTCTTTGTGTATCATTAAATGTATTAGATATTCAAATTCAAATGTTTAAATCATTTTTAATTAATTTTTTCCTTTTAATTGTTTCTATATTGGAAATTATTTTTACTGCTTGTGGGAAATTTTTGGATTAGATCTTTATTTATAATTAGTTTGTACTCCATAATCCTTGAAGAATTAAATCAATGACGTCTTTCACATATTCTATATTGTATCAATGCTACTCTTTTCGCTCTTCTTTGTATTTTTCCTCATATGTACTCCTGCTTGTTCTTGTCCCGAACAGTCTTATCCATCCCATCTAACCCTTCTCATGGCTAGCAATAGAGGAAGCAATGAGCAGTCTGATTGAAGAGCATCTCTGTCACTCGGTCGTCCTCATGTTCGAAGTCACTAAAAATCAAACAACATATGAAGCACTAATAGCCGATCTACGCCTAACTCTCGAAATGAGTGTCTGATATTTGCTAGTAAAGTCAGGTTTGCATTGGTGGTAAATCAAGTCAATGGAGAATTCAATGTCAAGGAAGAGATGGTGTTCAAATACCTTAACAAGGCAAAAGTGGAGATTGAGAAGTTCACAGATTTCAAGATCGAGCACGGTAGTCGGGAAGAAAATCAAATAGGGGACCTTTTATCAAAGGACATTTGCTTTGGAAATGGGAAGCCCTAAAGGCTTTTCCAGCCGATCATTGAGGAATTTGAGGCCATGAAAATGGAAGCTGAAAGCACAAAAAGTTGGATGGATCCCTTTATACAATATCCCGAGTGAGAGACTACCATATTTGACCTAAAGGAGGAGTTGAGGTGGTGACCGAGCTGGCAGATGTTCAGGCAACTAGCTCAATCTCCCGGGTTCGAGCGGAAGAAGAGAGTATAGAAAAGTTTAAGTTTGGGGGGTGTGCATTGTACTCGAGTTTGTAAGTCGGGGTATGGTGCTGCCCGAGTCGGCTGAAGACCCGTATGTAAAGTATTTTTTGTCAGAAATAAAAATTTAATTTTTACCAATTTTCAAAACTTTTCATCATCAAGTTTTCTCGATTATCATGCTGATTTGATGTGGATTTTCGAAGTTCGAGGTACAGATTCGAGGTGTTTCGACTTCCCTGGATACCCTATATATATGGTTAAATGGGAAAATGGAGTTGCTCTCTTTCATTTTCCTCTTCTCCTTCCCTTTGGTTGGTTTTCTTTCCGAGCTTTCATGGCCTCCAAGTATTCTCCCTAACTGTTTGGTTCAGTGCCTGCGATCGAACGTTCGATATTGCATCGTTCAATGCTTATCTTTGGGATGAAACTTGTTTATATGACACAAGCGTCGTGCTTGAGCAGGTGGAACCGGAGGTACGGGCGACTAACTACTTAAGAGATGACTTGATTTTCTGCCGGGACTAGTTCTGGTGGGGACTTTGACTGCCCTTCTATCCATAAATTCGGTCGATAGTTAACCATTATGTAGTCATTCCTGCCCATATCAAGCCAAACTCAATTGCTTTGGTGATGACTTTTGTTATTTACTTGCTTCAGATGGAGATTCTATGGTCACGAGAGCTGTTCTCCCACATGTTTTCCTTCAGAGGAGCCGGATGGATATGTTGTCTTCGGCTCGACCTGGAAATTCCTCCTGATTGACTTGGAGAACAATATAAAGGATTGGAAGCTTCGATTCCTCTTGGGCACTTGTGAGACTTGGGGTATTGCTACTAGGCCGACTGGAGGGCCTTATAAGTAAAAGAAGAGTCTCCCACCATGGCTTCAGGGACTCAGGCTAGCTATCATTGACAAGCATATGTTGGTGATCCAGTATACCGATCCTATGGCAGTTAACTGGGTGTTAAACTCTGCTAAGTTTGCCTAATGGCTCCTGAGTTGTGGGTCGCCTCTGACGAAGCGAAGGAAAAATAGTAATTTGAGATGGCTGCTCGACTGCAGAGAAAAGAGCTGAGGAAGAAGAAGGCGACACTTCTTCACAGAGAGAGGCCAGGGAAAGGATGACAAACCAACAGGCAGGATAGCCTCAGGTTTGAAATTAATCAATTTTGTCTCCAAAATCTTGGTTGCTATTCAAAACAAAGTCACTGGAGAGTTAATACTGATCAAACGGAAACATCGTTTGATGGACTTAGGGGTTTGAGGGACCACCATCAAGAGGAGTTAACTCCATCCAACCTTGGATCAGAGGTTGAGGATTCCTCTGTGCACCTTTCAATACAGGAAGCTTTCGGACTGTCATCCTCTTTTTACTGAAAGAGGGGAAGCCAAATAGCCCTATCTGTGATTCCCAACAACGCTAGTCAATCTTTTTGAGGCAGTAAGACTTGAAGAATGATTGGGAGAAGAGGAACTTGTATCGGCTGAAGAGGCAAAGCACTGACAGAAAGGCAACGCCCCAACTCTAGATTCTGACACTTCTCTTGCCTCCCAAGAAACGAAAGGGGGGAAAGATTGCTGGTGTCCGTTACAAGAGAAACGTCCAAAGGACTTTTTCAATTTGGACTCTAGTTTAATATTAATAAACATCGAATGGGATGGTTTCCGGAGATGGCCGAATATGCCTTGACCATCGCGTATGTTCTTTGGTCTGCGGGCCTTAAGAAGTTCTTGAATAACCTCTGGCTCATGGAGATATGCCATAAGGTCGACCGATTTCAATTGTTCAATCTTGTCGCTATGCATCACTTGTTTTCCCTTTTTATGAATACTAGGGATATGGTCTTGAAGGCCGAGGCAAAAGCGAAAGTGTTCAACGAGCAAGCAAGAGCTGCAGCAAATCAGGCGAATGAGGCAGAGGCTCGGCTGGAGGGTGTTGAGGCAGAATTGGAGATAGCATCTGAGTGGTGTCTGCCATCCAAGATGAAAATGTTGAACTATCAGAGTGGATGGCTACAATGAAGAAGATCGAAGAGTTTCTTGACACTCAAGATCACTTGGAAGAGGATAGGAGGGTGACAATCGACCATTTCATTAGAGTTGAGATGATTGATCCCAAATACTCTGACCTTTAATGAGTTCAAGAAACTCTTCGATGCTACCTCGACGTAGAAACACCAAGAGGAATCTGAGGGTGATAACTTGGTGGATGACGAATCATCCATCACTCAACCCGATGACTTCTAGGCTTGGTTCTTTTTTAAAATACATGTAATGGAATGAATATACATGATTTTTTTTTTCATGCATGTAAATGAATGATTAAATGAATGAACTGTGACCTCTCGGTCGCTTTTACTTATGTTATCTTTTGTTTAGTTTATTAAATTATGACGTTTCTTCTTTCACTATTCTTTAGTCGATTTGAAATTTTCTTCGCCCAACTCAAGCCATATCTTTTGTCGCTTGAGCGCTGAGGGATGATTTTTAGTGTATACATCAATCAAACAACGTGGTGTTATCGTCAGGCGTAAAAAAAATTGTTTAACTGCTTAGATGACGTGCACAAAATCAGTTTATTCTGGGTGTCAACTCTTAGGCATATCTAAGTTCTTTATTTGTTTGAACACAAAAAATTTCTTTCGGTCGAACTACTCGTACGAGGGTATTCATCGATATTTTTTCGAGGTGATTTTTTTAGAACCCTTCATGGAGCTAGTGGGCTGGTAAACACCTTTGAAAATTAGTTCTGAAGACTTGAAAACTCAAGTTTGAGGGGTTTTGTGACCAAGCGTCTGAACACTTATGTTGGTCATCTTTTTATGATACTCTAGTTTCTCGAGGGTTGTTTCAATGTGAAATGTGTAGACCTTCTGAGTTCCCCGAGTGTTGTTTAATCTGGGTTACAATCAATGGTTAGCCAATATTTTTCTCAAAATTATACAAAAAGTAAAAATTCACAAGTGATACAAGTGTAAAACTTCTTTTATATTCCTCTTGTGTCGATATAATGTAATTGTTTTGAAGGAATAATTTTTTTGACATCCTCACTTCATGTTCGAAGAATCCTTTTCCCGGTGTATGACTTCAGTTTGTAGGGTCTTAGGGCGACTTTTTGATCAATGATGAATGGACCTGTCTATGTCTGATCAAGTTTGCCGATTGCCCTCGTGCTGCTGGCTCGACTTTCTTCATATCTAAATCACTAGAGGAAAATTTCTTTTCTCGGACGTTCTTATTGCAGTATCGAGCAGTCCTCTTTACGTCTTCCAGTCGGAGTGTTGCATTGGTTCGTCTTTCTTCTAATAGATTGAGTGCGAGCATCATTCCTTTATCATTTGCCTCTTGCCTGCCGGTGAGTTTTTCTTCATCAAAAGAGGTAGTTGTGACGATTCTTTGACTATGGTGGTTGTATTTGACGGACAATATTGCTTCCATCCCATGGAAAAATATGTACGGGGTTTGCCCGGTCATTGCGGATGATGTCGTCTGGATGGCCCATTGGACGGTGTTCGCCCAATGGCCTTTTGCTCCTTCGACCTTCTTCCTTATTAGATTTAAGATTATCTTGTTGGAAGCCTCAGGTTGTCCATTTGTCCGGGGATGATGTATAGATGCGAATTTAAGGTTAATTCCCTTTGACAAAAATTCTTCGGCGATAAGTACCAGGGATGAGCCATATCGACAGATGATGTTTGTCTAAATAAAGTTTCAAACGACGTTAGCATTGATCAGGGCGAGGGTTTTTGTTTCTATCCATTTTAAAGAATAGTCTACAACTAGATAGAACTTGCATTGGCTCTTTGAACGGTGAAGCGACAAAAGGATGTTAAGCCTTCAAATGGCAAAAGGTTAGAGACTGATAATCGTCTGCAACTTTTGGGTCGGTTGTTGTTGCAGTGGAGCATATTTCTGACACTGCTAGCATCACCTAGAGAACTCCTCTGCATCCTTCATGAGGGTAGGCCAAAAGTAGCATTGCCTCTAAACACGATGTGTCAATGTCTTTCCTTTGGAATGACTTCCACATTCACCAGAGCGTATTTCCCAAAGAATTTCTTTAGCTACATTTTCCTTAATGCATCGTAAGGGTAATGAAGCAGTTGACCTTTGAAAAAGTTTACCTTTAATGATAAGATATTACGTAGTCTTAGACTTGAATCTGTTATTTCTTCTGGGATCTTTCCACTTTCCAGGTATTGTATGAAGGGATTCATTCAACTTTCTTTTGTGCTTTCAGCTTTCACCTCTATGGTTTCTTGTTCTTTAATGGTTAGTTGGAAATGTTTTCGGGGTGTCCCTTCTCTAAAGCAAATGTTCTTTGATAGAAGTTTTAATACTTGATTTTCTTCCCGACTAACATGCTTGATCTTGAAGTCTATGAACTACCCAATCTCCACTTTTGCCTTGTTCAAATATTTGATTATCATCTCGTTCTTGGTTTCAAATTCTCCGCTGACTTGATTTACCACCAGTTGGGAATCTGACTTTACTAGCAGTTGCTAGACTCCCATTTTGAGAGTTAGGCATAGACCGACTATTAATGCATCGTATTTTGCCTGTTTGTTGGTGATTTTGAACTTGAGGATGACTGAGTGATAGAGATGCTCTTCGGTCGATCTGCTCAGTGTCAGTCTGATTCCTCCTCTCGCTTGATTCGAGGCTCCATCAATGTGGAAAGTCCTTGTTCGGTCGTTAGTATTAGTTCCTCCGCTCGATTCGCATTGTTCGGAGAAGTTTGCTAGGAAATCCGCCACAACTTGGGTGTTAATTGTTGTTCGAGGGATGTATGTCATCATACTCACTGAGTTCCGCATCCTACTTCAGGAGCCGACTGGAGTGTTCCGGCCGAGTGAGCATATATGTGAGTGGATGGTCATTGATGATCTTGATCGAGTGCGTTTAGAAATATGATCGGAGCCTGTGGGTAGATATAATTAGAGCAATGTTTAGATTTTCCATGATAGGATACTTGACCTTAACGCCTCTAAGAATCCGGTTGGTGTAGTAGATCGGGAATTGTTTTTCTAGCTCCTCCCGGATGAAGACCGAACTAATGTTTTCCCGCTCAACTTCCAAATATAGCGAGTGTTCTTCATTCGATTTCTGGCTTTGTAAAAGCGGAGGTAGTAATTAATGCACCTCTTTATATTTGTGACTGACTTCAGGATCCATGACTGGCGCTGGCACCATTCTATATTTGTAACGGCTAAAAAGGAAAACACTTAATGACTTGATGGTGTTGTCATTCTATCGTTTGACAATCGTTCGGTCGACTAATGGGTCTTCAGTCAACCTCTTTGAGAGAATTCTTGGCAGAGGCCCTCTTGTTGTTTGGGTAAATTTTGATCGTCGAGCAGAGGGTATATCGCTGTAATCTAACAAACAACTCTACTTGAATAAGTGGCCTTCTGAGAGGGCTGGAAAGATACTAGGGTGTCCTTTGACCATCTCCATGAAGAATCCCAAAATTATTCGAGGGAGATAGCTGTAGCTGTTTGTCCTTTGGATCTTGTGCCTTTTGTTCTTTCGTTCGGTTGGCTTGTAGTTTTGATCAAAGGGAGTGATATTTGGTGTCTCTGTCTTTTGACTCCCGATGCAATCCTTTGGTGCCGGTTCTGTGAGATCTGTTGATTCTCCACAAGATTTGTGTGGTCATATTTTTGATATACAAATATATATCTCAAAATAAATATATTATAAACCAATACATCTACATACATGTTTGTCTATAATATCTCTATTTTATTCAACTTTTTTAAACGTCTCATATCTTCATATTAATTATAGAACACTACATGTGCAAAATTTATTTTTCTGTGTTAAAAAAGAATGCAAATATGCATATTGTACACAGATTTTCTCTTATATTCTCTTAATTGCAAATAGTTAATGATGAAGAAAGAAACAATTTCCCATTCGTACAATTTTTTTTTTCTTGGCATAAACTTGTTATTCTTGCTGATGAGGATGATGAATTTAACTGAATATATGTGCATTCATTTAATAAGATTCTGATTAATTTGAAGTTAATATCTCGGCAAAGAATTATTCAATACCCTTGCTATATATTTTTGGGATAAAACTATTCAAGTTGCTGACGAGGATAACTTCAAAATTTTTTTTTTGATGTAAATTTGTTCTATTTGATTTTCTTTCATATGAAGCGGATTTGATATCATAAATTCTTGTTTCTATTGCCAAAAATTTTCTTTATAGTTCACTCTGGGTTTGTATTTCTTGAAAACGAATGAACTGGGAGCTAAAGAAATGGATTGGATTTATTGAATAGAGTATCATCTTGGACAACTGAAGGCGAAGATAGCGAAACTAAGGACACAACTATTGGAGCCTCCTAAGGTGCGTTGCTTGGCATTTTCTACCAATCATTTTACTTTTTTGACATATGTGATTTAGCATGAATTGTAGCTTAGTAGTTCTTTCCTTGAGCGACTTTCTACACTTAATTCTACTTTCATGTTTGACTTATAGTTCAAACATAGCATCCTCTTCCTCTTTTTTCTAAAAAGATATTTCTTCTCCCATAATCTTAAGGTCTCATGCATGTGTGCTTTTTATATGATTTTGACTGACGTCTGGCACGACAGATTATATTATATTATCTTTGAATTCCACACTTGATGGATCTTCAGTTTACATTTGTAGAATATGGTATTGTGTACCGTGAAGAATTGAAAGGAATTTGCTAAATATTTCATTTTGTCATTTAAACTGACTTTATATCAGTCTATGAGAACTATTATTAGGAAATATACAACATATAGCCACACACACACAAAAAAAAAAAAAAAAAAAAAAAAAGATTACTATCCAATGACTACTTAAAATCAATGGCTATCAACTTCAATTAGTTTCGTTAGGCAATGTTGCGTAGGATTATTTGCATTATTGATAGCTTATTTATTATGAAATAAATGTTATTGAACTTTACAATTGAACTTATAAATTTTCCAGGATGACTTTGTAGTCATAGCACATTCTTAGATTCTAGTGCCATGGATTTAAATTTTCTTATACTTTTGATCTTGTCATCATATTTTATTTATTTATTTATGTTATGAGATTACCTCCTCAAGGGTGTAATATCTTGGAAGCAAGTCGTTAGCATTGCTAGATTTGACTCTTTAATTCCAACAACTAATTGATTTTTGACCATGCTAAAAAAAAGTAGGACAAATGTTACATCACTTTTATATTTTAGTGAAAAGATCCATGAAATACAAGTTTAATCATTGATATGGGACACAAACCACCAAACTTTTGAGATATTATGTGTAGAGGACGATCCATATTTGTTATTATAATAATGGAAAAATAGACTTTGGGTTCGTATTTCACTTAGTAGCAAACTGATACTTTTATATTTTATTAACTTACATCACAATGAAATTCTTCTGTATTATTAACTTTTGACTGATAAAGAAAGCATACTGTTGTGAAGAACAGAGATTGGATGGCCAAGACATAGGTGTTGGTGCCGTATTATTTCCTTGTTAGATTTAAAAGATATAGAAAAGAAAGATATTAGGACAGTTTGTGAGAAGCTTTCTTGATCATTGAAGTCCTCTAGGTGATAGCAACTTTCTTTTTCTTTTGCATTTCCAATTGTATTCCTCGTTCCTTGTTCTTAAAATATAGAACATCGAAGGTAAAGCACAATATTGCATTTTTAATTTGCAACTACCGTTTAGATAAAAAGTTGATAAATAATTTTGGTATGTGGACGACATTTCCAAATGGTAAGGGTTGTTTATTAGAATATTTTCTTGACCAACAATGGGTGTCAAAGATTCACTTTTTAATAATATATATATATATTATATATATATTTATACGATAAGCAGTATATGTAATAAATATGTGAAGTGTTGGTTGTATAATTTGTGACTTTTGAATTAATATATCAGGAGTTGGATTTGGACAGTATAAAAATGAGAAGATAAAGTAATGCCTGAGAATTAAAGAGAAGAAATACTTACTGTATGAATCCTTTTTAGTCATTCCAACAAAATTTTTAGTTCTTCTATTTTTTCTTTATCGAATTCAATGGGCGATTCTTTGGCATTTCCTTGTACATGTGTTTGTCTATCCTCTTTGTGTTGTCTTGTATTTTTTGTCGGTTTGTATGAAGCTTCCAATATTTTTCTCTTGTATGTTGAGTTTTGTCTGAAATATATGCATCATAGATTTTTTATTTGTGGTTGGATTTGACTATTTGTTTTCCCCGAGAGAGGCAAGTTTGAAATCATAGTGCTTGATGTTGTTGACCTCAATTTTCGTGAGGTCTAGTCTTCCTCTTAGGGTTTAGGATCTAGCCTTAGGGATCTCCCTTTGACTATCTTAGAACCTTAGAAGTGGTGCCCGCCTCATTGTAATTTGACCTATTTCCGTCCTCTTTTGTGGTTCCAAGTGTGTGGTATCGACTTCTAGCATTTAGAAGGGTGAAACCAACATGAGGAAACCCAAAAGGGATCCCTATAGGACCTTTTTGAGCCTTAGGGTGGCCTTCTGCACAATTCGCACTCCCGCGCGCACAAACTTCGCAATTCAGAGAGCCAACACGTCCGATCGCCATAATTCACATCGCTTGCACTGTTACCCGTCGAAGACTCAAATGAAATTTTTGAAACAATCGATCGCGGGTCAATATTTTTGTGAAATTTGAATTTCGACGCGTTTTGATCCGATTGTCGACGATGTCGTCCGAGCGACCCCGGATGA